ATCTGGCTGCGTGACGTACACCTTAAATTTCATGTACCCCCACAAAAAATCCATAGGTGTCATATCAGGTGACTTAGCTGGCCATCCAATGTTACATTTACAGTTACGTTTTCTGCCATAAATATTGGACCTATGATACGGTCATCCAAAATATCAGTCCATAGGTTGATCTTTTCTGGAGTATGAGTATGGCCCTTTCGAAGAACCAATAACGCACACTCTCTTATTTACCGTTTCATTTAGAAAAAACTGTACTTTCATCACTTAAACAAATAGAGTTAATGTAACTGGGATTTTGGGTTATGCGGTCAGACATGACCTCACAAAACTGCAGTCTTCTATATGGGTCGTCTTCTGTTAATTGATACAGAATTTTCAATAATTCTGAACTAGAAATCATTAAATTATAAAACAACAACAAAAATGAATTGGATCTCCGGGGCGACTTCATTGATTCCAGTGGCTTTTTCAACTGCAGGAAAACCCGGAAAAACCTGCAGCACCACATCATCTGAAGATCTCGATTTGCCAATATCCTCTCTCTCATAAAACAAAATGTAGGGTGTCTTCAGAAGCTCCACTAAATTCACTGCATCGCCAGAACACTTAGTGACACGACTATCGTCAAACTTAAATGAGTCCGTTTTGTCTTTGACCAATGCGTTATAATGACGAGATTCAACGCCAGAACTACAGTGAACAATGACTGCATGAAGATTATAATAGTGGTCTGCTAGATTGAAGTGTTCATCTATTTTGAATCTTCGTCAGAGTTTAGTGTTTCCGTCAGAGGTTGAGTCGTGTTTGAAGATCATCAGTGTTATTATTAGATTGACTGGTGCGCATGTTTTGCAATACAGTCGATCATCACCTGTTGAAAGTTCCATATTCAGATGATTTAACAATAAGCTTTGCACGGACTGGTTATTAGTCATATTAGGAAACGCTAGATGAAGTTCCAGAAATTCACATACGTTTTTGCTACCTCTTGAACATTTACTACAAAGTAAACAAGTGATGAACTCGCGTGGTATTCGGTAAGAAAATTCCACACCGAATTGTGGTGGAAAATCAAATATTTTTGAAATTTATTTTTTCATTCTCAACAATGGAACAGAATACATAATAATATTAAGTTTTCACACCAATGGATTCTTAGCCTATAAAATGTTGATGTCTATTGATTGTTGTAGCTCAAAAGTGCCATTTAGCGACAAAAAATAAAATATTCTTTCAATTTATAGTTAATTAAGCTTACTACAAGTGGTAGAAAATTATAATTTTAGAGGTTTTTCGGGAAGCTGCATAAACAGATTGACAGCGCGTCATAGCTTTGGCAGCAATTATTTAGGCCTTCAAATTGGTAATTTCTACTCAGTGTTATTGCATGGGAATACCATTTTAAGATAGAAAATAGTATGTTCTTCAATTTTTCATAAGTTTTGAGTAACGACATGTGGTAGAAAATAGTTTTTTTTGCGTTTTTATTAATGTGGGTTTTGCGCGTTAATGGTATGGAATTCATAACCAGCGTCAGCAAGCATCAATCATAGGAGGCTGTGATCACTGTATTTTCACAGTTCAAAATATCAAAAAAACCCGTGTTTTGTCGCACAGCCAGTAAAACCAAAAAAATCCTTTATTTAAAAAATGATTCGATTTGAAAACTATACTATATGCGAAATATGCGTGAAATTGGATTGTGGCTCCCACTTGAAGAAAGAAAATTTGTTCAGAATTGTCCACGAATATTTGCATCTAAACTACGCAAAATTGAAAGTACTGAATGGGAAAAAGGTGAATAAATTAGTGTGTAAATATTCATTCAAAGTCCTGCATTTTCGCCATTAAGTAGAGAGGTGTCCGAAAAATATAGAAAACATCTTAGCTTTGTAATTGAAATGTATCAAAACTAAATATTATGTGAACAAATAAAAACCAATCTGTCAAAAATAGTCCGTTATTGTAAACGTCAAAAATTTTCCAGTATAATTCCCTGTTGGGTATTCCATGAGAAAAAAATTCCACTAAAATACCTCCATTGCCATGGTGATTTGTCAAAATAACGTATTTTGATAGGTTCAAAATTACAGGTGGATTTTCATCAAGTAACGGCCAAATCAATCAGAAAAAAAGATAAAATACAGGTGTGGAGTTTTCATTGATATTAGTTGCGTAGCGAAAATGGGAAATAAATCGCATGGGAAGCGTAACTATCAATTTGCATTGGTATCAGTACAAAGCCCTGTTTTGTAGATCGTTCACAGTCACGAAATTGATTATTTGAATCGTCAGGACTGTTCTGCGATCATTCTGGTGGAATTCGAATCACATACAAACAATTTAGGATACCTGTCCCGAATAAAGTATCATTGCCATATATAAAACTCTTATAATCAACAATATCTGATGGGAAAGAAGGCATTTTGGATAAAAATTTCGTGATGGTATCTGGAGTGAAATATTTCAGTAGTTTTATTGAGGAGTAGAAATATATGAAATGCGAGTAATTCCATTTCATATTCAGGCTGACGTTTCTAGGAACATGCTACGAGGTCTGTTCAGAAAATTAAGTGAATTTTTGTTTTTCTCAAAAAAACATTTAGTTATTCATCAGTTTCTATTTTGTCCTTCTCAAAGTAGTTCCCATCAGATATAAAACACTTGTGCTAGCATTTTTTCCAATCCTTGAAGCAATTTTAATGTGCACTTTTTGGTATGTCCTTGAGCTCTCCCAGCGATTCGGTTTTCATCTCTCCAATCGTCGCAAAACGCCGTTCTTTTGTGGGTCTCTTCAACCTCGGGGAAAAAAAGTGGCAGGTGGCAAATCTGGTAAATATGGTGGCTGAGGCATGATTACGACGTTATTTTCGGCCAAAAATTACGAAAAACCAATGACAAATGAGCAAGTGCATTAGCATGATGCAGAATCCATGAAAAAATTTGCTGCAATATAGGATTTTTCTTCGTATTGCTTCTCGTAAGGGTCACATAACGTCAAAATAATACTTCTTATTGATCACCTGGCAAAAACTCCTGGTGAACTACTCCACAGAAATTTTATGGCATGAGCCAACCCATATGCCGACTTCCTTAGCAACTTCTCAACCTCCACCTTCTTAACATTTTCATCAGTTGTTGATAGGCTGGGGCGTCCAGGGCGAGCGTCGTTATTCATATCTTGATCTTTTATAGAAAGCTTGAACTACTTGTTAACATATTTCAGACTCAGAGTACAATCATCGTATGCCAATGTGAACGTTTCAAAATTTTTTTGGCACTCAATTCCATTTTTACACAAAATCTGATGCAGATTCTTCGATCCATTTTTTCGATAACAGAAAATCGCCGAACACGCAAAACTATTCCACCTTTCATGCCTCTTACCAACAAATTAAACATGCTAAATCGAATCTACTTAGCCCGCGAAATTTGAATATTCACCTTATTTTTGAAAAGACTTCGTATATACACCCGAATTCATTCTTTTTTGGAAAAAGGGAAATGGTATAGTCGAAGTAAATGATATTGTGCACTCTTAAAGTTGACGGCACTCTCAAAGGCCAAAAAAACCAATACATAGAAATGAACCGGCAGCGAACTGGTCCACGTGGACTGTTCGTATTGGATAATTTTTGCTAACCGAGTTTTATGATTGGCTGAAGAGTCATAAAATTGAATTTGAAGTCATGTAACGGTGACGAATAGGAATCGGGGAATGCCAGGATGGTTATCGCCATCGTGTTCAGTTCAGGAACTGATCGCGATTTTAGTGTTGTAATTCGACATTGGTGCGGTTGTAATGACATAACATTTTTTGGAAAAGGAAGGTTTTGGCTTTCTACTACTCCATCTTGATACAAAAAAAAGATTAGGGAATCTTCCAAAGAAAGGAAGGAAGTAATCAATTTGAAAATAAATAACTCTCTACATGGATATGTAGATCATGCATAATCTACACATCCATGTATAGAGATGTGTTATTTATTTTCAAATTGATTACTTCCTTGCTTTCTTTGGGAGATTTCCTATTTTTTTTTGTGTATCAAGATGTATAGAGATCCATGTATAGAGATATGTAGATCATGCATGATCTATACATCAATGTTTAGAGTTATTTATTTTCAAATTGATTACTTCCTTCCTTTCTTTGGAATATTCCCTAATCTTTTATTTGTATCAAGATGGAGTAGTAGAAAGCCAAAAACTTTCTTATAAAAGCCAAAAACTTTCTTTCCCAAAAATCAATCACTCCTAAAAATATAACCCCTTCAATTCATAAAATTTTTGTTATTCGTTTAAAATGTGGCGTCCTTGGACAAGTACTATTAGTAATAACGAGTGTTACTACCTTTCAAAGAACATTAGACCAACTCTCGAAGCTACTAGGAATGAGGTTTTCAAAATCCAAAACACACTATGTCCACTTCTGCAGACTGAGGAAACCCCACCAAGGACCTAGACTTGAACTAGATGGTGAACTTCTATAATGCAAAGAAAGTACAAGATTCTTGGGTCTCATCTTCGATTAAAAATTAACATGGGCTCCACATGTAAGTGACCTGACCCTTAGATGTAAAAAAGTTCTCAATTTGATGAAAGCTCTTGCTCATGTTCGTTGGGGAAGTGATAGGGAGGTGCTCCTTAAAATATATAAATCTATTATCCTTTCGAAAATAGACTATGGCTGCATGATATATAGCTCAGCACGAAAATCCAGATTGAAAAAACTGGACTCAATACAGGGTACAGCATTGAGACTGGCAGTGGGTGCTTTTAGAACCAGCCTCTATTCATCACTTTCGGCTGAAACAGGAATTCCTTCTTTGAAATATAGAAGACAACGACTCCTTTCGAATTACGCTGTTAACATTTTAGCGCAGCATAATCACCCTAATTACCCAACATTTAATGAAGACACTGATGACGTTTACGAAAACCGACCCACGATAACAAGGCCAGCTCAAATAAGGTTCAAAGAAATACTGAACTTCACTCAGTATACAGTTCCAGCCCTGGAAGAATTCCTCCTTGGGAATTGGAAAAAGTGAGAGTGAATCTTAAACTCAGCCATACTGCAAAAGATGGTAATCAAGATATCTTTAGGGCAGAATTCAACAAACTCCTCACAACTTACACTGGATTCATAGTTATTTACACCGATGGATCAAAAACCCAAGAAGGTACTGGATGTGCATTCACTAGTCAAGGTTTGACTCACAGTTGGAGATTACCGGCACAAGCAAGTTATTTCACAGCCGAATTATACGCTATCCTACAAGCAACCTACTTTTGTCAATTCCATAATGAAATAAACTTTCTCATTTGTACGGACTCCTTAAGCTCACTACACGCACTAGAAAATTCATTCAATAAAAATCCACTAGTACAGACCATATTGGCATCCATACACTGGACGAATAAGAATCGAAAACACATCGAATTTGCATGGACTCCTAGTCACCAAGAAATCTCGGGAATCAATTAGCAGATCAGGCAGCCAAACGAGCTACCGAAATACCTGATGTTTGTAATAATATTCCTATTCGACCGGAAGACGTCAAACATTATTTTAAACAGCAGATTATGGATTTATGGCAAACTGAATGGGAGGAAACAGATGCAAAATCACATGCTGGAGGCATTCTATTCCAAAGACATGAAGAGAACAAACTGTGATTACACGCTTGAGAATAGGTCATACCAACTCAACTAACATATTCATGCTCTCAGAAGAACAACAACCAATATGCCAACAATGTAGACAGAGGCTAACAGTGAAACATATCTTGCTAAATTGTGTCCGATATGATGAAGCTAGACAACGATTTGAAATACCAAATTCTATGAAAGAATGTTTGAAAGATCATAATGAAAGTCTGGAGAGAATTATAAAAATTATGAAAGCTATTGAGCTATACTCAAAAATTTGAAGAAGAAAGCAAATGTTAAACAAACTAACAGTAAAAGGCCAATGACCTTGTAGTCGACGCCTTTAAACTAAAAAAAAAAAACAACGCAGACTTTTTCCAGTGTAGTGATCCCAATTGCGATGGTGAACAATGCGAAAAAGAGATACAAGTAAATAAGATTCGGATGCATTTGAATATTGAAACACACAGAGTGTGTTTCAATTTATATAAGAATCTATATCTCAAGTTTGGTTTCGAGGGAAACAAACTATTACAAGCAACATCAGATTTGACCGAAATTCCTTTCTCAACTGTACGTAAAATAGTCAAAAACAAACCTAATCAATGCAAGACGCTATGTGATACAGGATTACCAAAACCTTTAGATGCTCATCTAATAAAATCATAAAAAAAACATACGACTGTTACAAAAGCAATGAGATTCCTACAACTGAAATCATAAGGAAGAAATTGAATACTTCCGGCCACAACGTGAGCTGCTGTGACAAAACTCTTCAGAATTGGATAAGGAAACTGGGATTTTGATTTAAAATAATAACCACACGTCAAGCAGTTATGGAAAGCAGAGGAATAGTGGAATTGAATAACAAATACTAAGAAGAAATAACTAAATATAGACAAGAACAACGGCAAATTTTCTATTTGGACAAAACTTGGTATGACACTAACGACACACGAGAATGTGTACGTCTAACATGCCTGTAAATAAAGGATCGCGACTAATCATTGTTCATTGCGGAGGAAGTGAAAGATGAGTTCCGAATTCTTTGAAATTATGTGAAAAAAAACTTGAGGACTGCAATGTTGACTATAATAAGAACATGGAAGCTGATATTTTCGAGGAATGGTTTGAGAAATTTCTCATGGAGAGCTCAACGTCAAGGTTTATGATATATGAACCTTAACTGAAAATGTAGGATTCATTTCCAAATACACTTTTACTCACTGAATAAATATGTGTGAATTCTCTGTCTTTTTATTTCGTCATGAGGCTCTTTGGTGTCAATTTTTGTTTCACTTGATTTTATTGCATAATCACTGGTAGATTTTAAAATATGTTCGGTTATCCTCGATCCTGTTTTATGTCTTCTCTCCATATATTCAAGATATTTGTAGACTATACTATAATTTAAAAATAGAAGGCAATTGATTCTCAGAAATAACTGACAGTTTTGCCTCAATCTGTTTCCCGCGGTGGCGTACGGAAGTTATACTGAACAGATGAGAAAAAATGATGATAAAATATATAGAATCACAATATGTTTTCGATTCAATGCGATACTATTTCCAAGAATTCAGTGTCTTCTATTATGGAATTGTACTATAGGCCATTGAATATGCCAACTGGACATTTTATTCTTTTGGTTCCAGGATGTACTTGTGATCCAAAACCAAATATCACAGTTTCGACCCATCAAGGTCTCATCGATGATGCTAGGCCGAACTACTCAACTGACCTAAAAAGAATGATGAAGGTGAATATCAAATAATAACAGGGCTCCTCAAGACAATAATTTTCTTCCACAATCTGAAAAATAATGGAAACTAAATCTGCTGAAGTGTAATAAAGGGCAAACTGAAAAACTCTTTCCAAAAAACAGTGACTCTTCCACAAAAAAATGTCTTTCATGAAAAATATCAAGAAATGCTGACGAACCATTCTCTTTCAGTTTCAGTGTTCTTGAATTTTAGATGAAACTTTTGTGAAAAGTCTGTGATTCTATTGAGTAAAGAAATAGAAAGTAATTGAAATAAACTGAATCAAATACCATTCGCAACAAAAACTTCGAGGAACAGTTTAAAACAGTTTGGGATAGTGGCCCAACTGCTTATAAGGTCCTATCTGCTAACGAACTATTCCTAGTACGGGTACCACCGTACCACCGTACCACATAGCGGTCGATTGAATGAATTGAACAATTCAATTCAATTCAATTAAATTTTTCATTTATCCATTCGAGCAAATACAGCTATAGGACAAGTCAAAACTCGAAACTCGAAACACTCACGCTAATCCAATCGGCCACTGTCCAATACTCTGGAAAACAGTGATTGGAACAAGTTTTGGTTATTGTTTAGTTGCTATTCGTTGACCTTGAAACGAGCCAAAAACCATCTGGATGAAGAAAAGGCATACTATTATTTTTGGGAGGAACAATGTCATTCATAAGAAACCTCAAAGTGAAGAACTCGTTTCGCAGCTGTCTGATTTGATTTAGTCATGTGCCTTATTAAAATAATAATAACGATAGGGTACGTGATTCTCGGACCCTATGATCACTTACCCCACAGTATGGGCGGGTTGGATGTCCTTGTTCATCTTTCACTGCCTGAACCACTGTGCATGCTGTTTTCAACAAGTGCATTGGCTTGGGATGTGATGGTTGAGCAAACCAGCCATCGGATGCATGCTTCCATGTGGCCCCGCTGGATACAGGAATGACAGAATAACTTGTGATTCTGTTATTCCCCAACTGAATGGCATCCCAACGACGGCTTAATCCTGAGGTGAGTGTATCCGTGCCAAAAGCATGCGGTAATGCAGAGCTCTGCCGTGATTGATCTTCTTTCGCTAGCTACTCGTGGGACTTTTATGGACAGAGTAAACATAAAAGTTCTTTCTGACGCTGAGTAAGAAGAGTTTACTGACCTCCCTGTAAATTTAGTTCAGGAGCGAGTCTACAAAGGAGAAGGATGTCGAGTTTACGACTTCAACTGACCTCCCTGTAAATTTAGTTCAAGCTTCTCAACTACCCAACTTCTGATCCATTAACTGAACCTAAAAAAAAGGTTTGGTGGTGCAGCCAGGAAACGACCGAGTCGTCTCCTCAAGATCGGGGTACCTTATAAAACCACCTTGCACCAAATTCTTGAGCGGGTTACGCAGAATCTGTCTCAGATGGAGGAACAAACCCCTCAAGAACAGGTTAGCAAACATTCTCGCATAAGTGATGATTCACCAGAACCAGAGGCGAAAAGGCCTTGCACGGTTGAATCTAAGGCATCGTCAGGTGTAGCTGACGTGCAAAACCCTCATATGGAAAGGTTGTCGCGGGTATCAAGGTGGGAAACTTGCCCCTTGACTATCCGACTACCTCATTAACGATGAAACAGCAGAGCATATACCTAGTGCCTGCCCCGCTGCTGACCGAATCAGGTTTTTAGAGTTCGGCAGAGCCGTACTCTTACCACCTGGCCTGAAAGACCACTCACCATACAAATTAATTGGTTTCGTTAAAAAGCTGGGTTTATTTGGTCGAGTGTGAATAGGTGTGAGCCATAATAAACCCTTGCGGGTTGTGGTGGAGGGACGAATAGACCCACTCACTTTGGACCTAACCTAACCTAACCACAGTGTGGCGTATGGTCATTAGTTTATAATGCTAGCGCCCCTCCCTAAAAATAATAGTCCTTGTCGACCATCAGAGTAAGAATATATTCGTTGATTTTCGTCAGCTTCGGGTGAGACGAAAATCGTCCGAGAATAATAGAAAAAACGGATGAGGATCGATATTTTTTTTAGAACTTCGCAGACTCTTCCCAGACTACTCTGATGAGATGATCGTTTTGATTATTGAATTCTTCAGTGACATGTTGCCCTTTTTACTCCAGAATCCTAATATAATGCCGGCTTGCTGCACAGCACTCAGGCAAAAATCTTGGCCGGGTTCTCATCTCATTTTTGGCTCAATGCATGTGCTTAGAGCACACCATTCTCTGACCCAATGATTACTCACCTACGGTGTGGGGAGTGGACATTGGTTGATGATGCTTGACCAGTGCAATCTTAGGAAAATAATAATAATAACAGACATATCACAAAAATTTTTGAAAAAGAATAACTTATTCTTCAACATAGTCTCCTTGCAGCTCTATCCACTTTCTCCAGCGGCTCTCAATGAATTCAATACCGTTTTTATAATAAGAACTGTCTTGCCCCTCGAAATAGCCATTAACTGCCGACATCACTTCTGCATCGTTGGAAAATCTTTCACCATTGAGCCATTTTCTTTCAAGTTTAGGAACATAAAATGAGTCGAGGGGGTTGAATCTTGCGAATAGGGTGGATGAGGTAGCAATTCAAACTTAAAAGCTAATTTTGGACATTGCGATAATGGACTTATGAGCTGGTGTATTGTCTTGATGAAACAACACTTTTTTCTCAGCCAATTGCGGCCAAATGGTCAATGAAAATTATCCCACACGCATGCCAAAAACATATGCCATGACCTTACTTGGATATGAAATGGTCTTCGCCTTCTTTGAAGTCGGTTCTCTCTTTTGAGTCCACCGATTTCATTGTTTTTTTGCCTCGGGTGTAAAGTGATGTACCCATGTTTCATCCATGGTTATGAAACGACGAAATTCTGCTTTGTTGTATAAATTTCTTGAGGTTCATTGGCGGTAGATTCGGATACATTTCATTGAACTTTCTACATGTTCTGCTGATAATTTTGTCACACTGTCCAAAAAATCTTAGGAAAATAATAATAATAACAGACATATCACAAAAATTTTTGAAAAAGAATAACTTATTCTTCAACATAGTCTCCTTGTAGCTCTTTCCACTTTCTCCAGCGGCTCTCAATGAATTCAATACCGTTTTTATAATAAGAACTGTCTTGCCCCTCGAAATAGCCATTAACTGTCGACATCACTTCTTTCACCATTGAGCCATTTTTTTTCAAGTTCAGGAACAGAAAATAATTCGAGTGGGTTGAATCTGGCGAATAGGGTGGATGAGGTAGCAATTCAAACTTAATTCGCTAATTTTGGACATTGCGATAATGGACTTATGGGCTGGTGTATTGTCTTGATGAAACAACACTTTTTTCTCAGCCAATTGCGGCCAAATGGTCAATGAAAATTATCCCACACGCATCCCAAAAACATTTGCCATGACCTTACTTGTATAAGAAACGGTCTTCGCCTTCTTTGAAGTCGGTTCTCTCTTTTGAGTCCACCGTTTTCATTGTTTTTTTGCCTCGGGTGTAAAGTGATGGACCCATGTTTCATCCATGGTTATGAAACGACGAAATAATTCTGCTTTGTTGCTGTGAAACTTCGCTAAACACTCAATTGAAACATCTTCACGACACTGTTTTTGCTCGAGTGTAAGCAAACGCGGCTCCCATCTTACACAAAGTTTTCCCGCGTCAAAATTTTCAGATGATATACGATGTGCCATACTTTTTGAAATGCCTACTAAGTCTGCTAGCTCCCGCACGTTCAGTCGACGATAATCCAGTACTGCTTTGTAGATTTTTTCCCCGTTTCTGGGATCGTCACCTCATTTGGTCGTCCACTGCGATGTTCATCTTGGCGGCTCGTACGGTTCAAATCAAATCAAAATATGCTTTATTGTCCAAGAATAAATCTTATTGACAGAATGGATAGGAAATATAAACATGAAACCTAAATATATAAGTAAGATACATACAAACATAAATATATATAAATCAAAATGTAAATATAAATACATANGCCTGAGCTTAGATTTTTACCTACCGTGCAATAGAATTCATTTAGAGTGTTGGGATCTATTAGGTTAGGCTGAGGCGTTTCAAATCAAAGTATTGTCCCACATCACGATGACCAATTTTCTCCATTTTCACAAATTCACCAAAAAAGTTCGCTATTGATGGCTGCAAAACGAATACTAAACAATGCAGCGTCTTCAAACTTGAAATATATGCTTCATAAATTGTGTATTTTCGGACGGTCAGTAGCCGGGCGGTTCGACGTGGGTGCTTTGTTCACTCAGTCAATTGGCCGATGTGTGAGTCGATGGTTCAAGCCGCAGGCTGAACGCTCAATTTTCACTTGCTATCGTCCAACCCGTGTTAGGAATCACACCTTGAAAGGTAAGACCTCGTTAGTCCTTAGCTCGCACAAGTTTTGACTTCTGAGGGTTGTCGTTTCTTAGGGGTGCGATAGCTGGAAAAAACATATTTTAAACATATATACATAACTTATAGCAGTGATGTTTCTCATACAGATACTGCAATCTCTAGGTCAGCTGGGTACTTCTGAATAATTCAAAAGGTATTTCACCCATTTGAACTATTTATTCTACATCATCAGAAAGATACAAGCTAATGAAATTGATGTAGTCGTTTTTTGAATTTTCTGCTCTGAAAGGATATTACCCGAAAAAGACAGAAAAAGGATAAAATATCGATATATACTCTTTGAATTATGAAAACTCGGCTCAGGCCATTTGAATTGGTTATACTGATGAAAGGATTCAATGATGTAATAATGGCATTATTATTCTGAAACATAATATCGTACTGGTTCACAGAAAATGACCGGAGATCCTATTCTGCCGAATGCCGGAAGCTATCGCTCTTGTTTTATTGCGAATTTTCAAAATCGTTTTTCCAGTCACAATGTTATCTTACTCCATGGTTGCTAGGTAACCATGCTTGCTTATGCCCCTCGTATGGAGGGGGCTTTAAAAAAGTACCTGGCT